ATTGCTGGCACTACCGCTCGCTTGACTCAATTATCTGTCTCTGTATCTATCTATCTGCAATTATATCTCCACTTTATTTGCCGGGCTTATATACTAAAAAAGAGGGCGCTTGGAACAGACTAGAGTTGCCAGGAAAAGTCATGATCCTTCTCCACCGCACATGCTTCCAGGGTCGTGTGACTTTCGCTGTCGTAACACTATTGCATCATAAGGAGCCTGGGAATTTCCCTCTGCAATTGGAATAAGAGTTAACAACTTTCTGCACATCACTGCTCTGGAAAAGAATTTCACTACAATGGCTAAGTGTTTTTCCATGGTTCTATATGTGCTTTTATCATTAAGAATAGAAAATTTTGGAATTCCCAAGTTTGATTCTGTAGTAATCTCTCGTTTTTTTAGTCGCTCTAGGTAATCTTGCCCCAAAACATTGTGGATGGCACTAGCCACTTTTGTTCATTTTATTGTAATATTCTGGTCTATCTTAGAGTCATCAAAACAAGTAGTCATCACATCAGATAGGTGACCAGTGCCCTGCAGGTCATTTCATGCTTTGCAGTCCATGCAGCAAGTTTAATATTAGCCTAGGTGATCTGTGTACCAGCATCTTGTCTTTTTTCCCTTATTTTAGGGTCTAGTCTTTCTCGCACGAGTTGCTGATGTTTACCTGTCTTAGCATGGGCATCAGTTATTGATTTCTTACTTTGAACAGATGCTATACAAACGAACACTTGCCTTTACTTTTGTCGTCTTTCATCACCCATATTCGGGTTTAGTTAGCCACTCATCACAACAACTTTAGCTGTCGTTCTTTTTCTTTCCTTTTTGAACTCGAAGAGTCATTGTCTGATGCCATCTTCAATGCCGATTGTGAGGACAAAAGAGCAAGCATAGCTAAATAGTTAACCGTTTTCAGTAATTTTTAAAATTTTAAACTAATGTTTTAGAAAAATGCCAAATATTCTAATATTAGGCTAGAAATGTGCTAAATTTTCCGAAATGCCAAATATCATGTTAAGTCAGTGAAAAACACAAAAAAATGTGCTAAATCTGGTCCTCTCTGTGGCGCATGTAATGTCATTTTCTTTAGTACGTACAGGGTATGAGCACATGGCTTCACAAATAAAACTCTTGAAGCTTAGTAGTAGCGTCCTCCGCTGTAGATTCAGTTATAGTCATTTGTTCTTCCTTGTTTGCTGTCTGAGAAGTTTGTTTTGAATTTCGCGCAAAGCTACACGAGGGCTATCTGCGCTAGCCGTCCCTAATTTAGCAGTGTAAGACTAGAGGGAAGGTAGCTAGTCATCACCACCCACTCTTGGGCTACTCTTTTACCAACGAATAGTGGGATTGACAGTCACATTATAACGCCTCCACGGCGAACATGTTTGGTGGGATGCGAACCCGCAGATTGCGAGTCGAGCGTCCTAACCACCTGGCCATGCCGGGCCCATCTGAGAAGTAAGTTTGAGTGAACGCATCGGATTGTGAGGGTTTTTGATATGGTTATTCGCCGGTTTCACTTGCGACTGATTTCAAAAGATCTGAATATCAAGTTTCACCCAAAATAGGATCTTAGCTCCAAAACCATTTGAAGAAAAAATGGTTTTATTAAACTTAATTTTTCTGTTCAGATTAGATGGTGGTATTGTAAGGCTCTTGAAATTATAAAATATTACAAGCTTCTTTTGTTTTTAAAAACAGAGGCTAAAATATAAAATGGTGGTTGAACGGAGATATTGGTGTATAGTTATTGTGCAACCTTTATAAATCATGTAATGGCTTCACAAGATTATTCGGCTCAATTCTTTTAGTTGTGATAGTTTGTTTGTAATTATGCACAAAGCTACACAATGGGCTATCTGGGTTCTGCTCACCACGGGTATAGAAACCCGATTTCTAGCGTTGTAAGTCCGCAGAGATACCGCTGTGCTACTGGGGGGCAGAAGTGATAGTATATTTGTAAGAAGATATCTATGAAGCTATTTTTCTGCCATAAATATATATATTAAAAAGTTGTATAAGCTTTTAAGGTGAAACTAGGAAAATACGTTAATTAAAATAGGCCTAAGTTAATTTTTCTTTAAACTTACCAAATGGTGTACGAGCAATTAAGTTTTTAACCAGTAACTGTTGATGCATCTCCGCTACCATAATTTATACATTAATTAGTGGTGTTCTAGTTACTTTATACTAATATATTCTACTGTATTTGTTTTCAATAATTTGTTTTAATATTTGTTTTACGGACAAGAAATTTATTGTTAATTACTTTCATACACACGCATGTATAACATCTTTTGTAGTATACAAAAATAATCCTTTTACTTGTTATATTTTAACCGTGTTCAACCTATTACCACTTTTTTCATATCCTTATGTTACACAACTTTAACAACCTTTTATGCATTATGTACCTTTCAGTTGATTAGGTATGAATAAATTGCTTGACATGAAGAAGGTAAATATATGAATGATGACCAATGCTTCCTTTGAAACACTTTATTCAACCTCATACATAGTTACTCTAGAGCTCACTTAAAATTTCAGACAAACATTACTTCACAGAATCTTAAAGCCTTAATGGGAAATAAGAAGTAGTAGGTTATTGCACATGAATTATAACAATTCCAGTACATTTTTCTATACCATGACTTACATTAAAGCCTCACCATTTAGTATTTTATATCAGCTGGTTTGAAATACCTTTTCCATTTTAATTTGCATAGATTTGGCTAAATTAAAGATCTGCACATCCAGCTTTTAGAGCAAATCAGTGCTAGAAAACTCTTTTTGTCTTACTATACATAAACTAAACAGAATAATTCATGTGCGAAATATTTAACACACAATATTTTGAATTTCAGTGGACTAAAGAGAACCAAGAACCATCAATAGTTCTAAGATGCAATCACTGAAGTAGCAAATATTACACAATTCAACTTTTAATTCTGCTTAATAGCATTGGCCAGAATAAAAAAAAAGCATTTTTGAATTTTAAAACTAAATTATGGTGCAAGTTAATGTTCTGCTTGATTGCAAAAGATCAAATAATGTTTTTACTACAATATTAAGCAATTCGTTTTAATGATCTGACTTTTTTTTCACAATCCTAATAGCATCTTTCAGAAAAAAAAAAGCAATCCACATGAAGATTTGTATAATAATAATGTAAATTAATATTTTTCTAATCAATACTTAAATCAATATTCCATGAATATGTTTTGTAAAAAAAATCTCATATCCAACATACTATGCCCATGTACAATGCATTTGGTTCAATCAAATTAAAGCAGTTTCTTTTTGTTTTTGCTTGCTGTGTATATGTTGGACAAGATTCTTTTTGAAATAAATATTTTGATATCGAAGATCTCCCACAATTTTCATTTACTGAGTAGAAATGTATATATACATGTATGCAAATATAGAATGTTATTTTATAAACTTACATTTAAGTTTATAAATACTTTAATTCATACTTTTTGAAATGGTGACCCATTAGCTGAAAGTTTTCCCCACTGTTTCTCTTCACTTTTTTTTTTGCATTTTATGAGGGAAAATATTTAAACACCCGCAGAAACTATCATAACAATGTCCAAGGAAATTAGCAGTACTAAAAATCAACAAATGTACACATTTGACCAAATTCTATTGTTTTCATTTTTATCTGTTCATTTAATTAAGTTGAATCTGTGAAAAAAACATTGATGTTCGTAATTCTAATAAGCAAACACAAACATTTTGATCACAAATGTCATCAGAATTTACATTAAATTTAGCTTAGTGCTTTGTACTACACAACAAATGGCTGTTCTACATATTATTAACACGTTGCTCAAGTTTGTTCAATTCTTCACTTGCTTCAGCGGGGAGATCCTGAGGCAACTGTTCACTGAAGTACTTCCGGATCTCCTGAACCTCATTTTGCCAAAATTCTTTTGGTACATGCATCAGCTCATTCATGTTGATTGGAGGAAGTCCATCTAGGTTGAGGGAACCATCCTTAGGAACATATCCAATTGTAGTTACCTAGAGAAATGTTTGTCACTGATGAAAACATATAATTTTATAAATCAATTAAATATGACTTGAACTTTGATTTCAATTTCAATAAGAAAATATTTTTGACCCATGTTTATCTTTGGATTGCAGTCAAAAAGTCAATGATTATGTTTTTCATATTTTTATCAGAAAGTCACCCTTTCTCCATGCTTATTGCAGAAAATTCTGCTTGTTATAATGTAAATCTAGGTTGAAAGATTCATTTCTATTTCATACCTGAAACAAATTATTATTATTGAAAATTAAACCATGTTGAAGGCATTTCATAAACACTGCTTCCTCTTGATTTCATTTTAAGACATTTATGGCTCACTGGTAAAGCCTTCCAGCCAGATCTGGAGACCTTTACATAGAACTGCAAATGTCATATGTAAACCAAAAGAACCTTGTTTATCAAAAACACTAGCCAATTGTTTAGAACTTCTTAGATCCATTTTGAAAGTAGAAAATTAAACCAACTAGAAGATTTTTATCTTTTAAAAGACAGTAGTTAAATCAACATTTTAAAATGGTGTACTTATGTTGAAAAATTATAATGTTTGAACTCAAATAAATTTCAAAAGACCCAGAAACTTAATTGTTTTTGATTAGTTGAGTATTGTTATTCATGAGTGAAAAAAGGAGTGAAGGTTAAAGAGCATGGTGTAATATATGATAAATAATTACATGTCACATGAGAAAAAAGGGTTTGATAAGGTGCCACTGAAAGTTGCCCAACCGCAAGGTAAAAAAATAAGGAAGATTGTCATTGATGCAAAAAAAAAACACATACTACATTAGTACTTAAACAGTTGAGCAAAAGTTAACATCAAAAGGAAGGACTTTGTTAAAAACTAAACCTGTGATAAAAGCCATCTTAATGAACAAAACAGACCCAAACAAACAAAACTGAATATGATGTATAAATTAAAAGGATCTCCAGAGTACAGGCTATGATGTGGGATATAAAATGTGCTTTGTGTTTTGGAAGTGACTGTGGAAGTAGGACCCACACTGTGGTGGGAATATGCTATCTTCCAGTCATAACCTCTGTTCACCAGTCTTATATGTTTAAGAAAACAAAATAATCATAAAAATATATAAATCAGGAAAGCAAGATGTGAATGCTAAAGCCCACAACATCCCATATCTGTATCACCTTTCACTGCCTGCAGACACCTGTGGGAAGGTGTCTGCTCTCCAAAGTAATAAAATAAAAGAAGAACTAAAATAATGTTCCACCATTGGTGGTAAGTATGATACACTTCCCTCTTCATGATGGCATTCCAGCCCCCATTACAGTAGTAAATTCCTAAACCAAATAATTTTTTAGATTTATCTTTTCTGTATGCTATTATTCCTAAACTGCATAAATCTCTGATTAAATTTAGATTTATTTCTAGTTTAGTGAAAACAATTATTAACCAACTGGCAATCTTATTAAACAAGTAAAGAAAAAACATTTCAAAAAAGGAAGTGAATGTATGGATGGCTACTATCAATCATTCAAAAAGAATGCAAACAAGATAGTAGGAGATGGAATTTGCATCATCCCTACATAATAGCAAAGGTACACAGTGTAGTAGAATGTTAATAGAGCAAAATATGATGAATTACACTCAACTGTGATTGAACAGTTATATATATATATTGCTATATGTTAATTTTTGCCTGTGCTATTATGTAGGGATGATACAAATGCCATCCCTACATTTACTTACTTTTTTGAAACGTATTTTTTTTATTTGTTTGCTTGTTTTTTTAATGCAGTGTTTCAATAGACATAGGAAGGTTGTATTTATAACTAAGTGTAATATTTCAACTGTAATATTTATTGTTTATTTATTATTGGTTGGTAATTCCTGTTTCACCCTGTACTTAAATGTTTTAAAGGAACACCAAATTTCTGTAATTAAAACAAGGGGTATAACATCGTTTACACTAGAATTATAATATTTTTAAATTACTAGTAATTAATAATACTTATAAAAGCAGATATTCCATTTGAAACTATATCATCTTGGTGAAATTGGTTGACACATTTGTTTTGGTTTTTTGAGTTATTATTGTAATAAAAAAGAAGCAGAAGAAAGG